TATCTCCCCGGCTTCACTTGTCTCTTTTTAAGAGTTGTGGTGTGGTTCTACGAATGTAGAGACTCACTGACAATGCCGGCAAAACTTCTGGGAATGTACCACGTCCACGGTCCTCTAAGTCTTCCTACCAACATGACCAAGTTGCGAGAACAAGGTCAAACAAGCAAAGGTAAATTAAACGATATTGTGAGAATTATTTTTATAAATATGAGAGCTAGGGTGACTGAAAATCATTTTCAAGTATCTTTAAGTCTCACAAATCTATTTTATTTAAAAATACTTGTTGAATGTTGTTAGTCATAATTATCAATGGTTGTTTTCTCGACGCATTTCACTCTTCACCTGATAATTGTAACCTTCCAATTCTGCCGAATTGTCACTGATAATACCTAGACTGTACATTCTGAATTATTCTCACTAACACTACTCACAATTCGACTAATTTTACCAGACCACTCTGAAGCCATTCTTTTTCAGACATCCTAATTGTGAATGGTGATGAGTAGCAACATTATCGCTGCCTGTATCCACGTCATCTGGTGCAATCCTAGCGTTGTCATCAAGTACAACCACTAGATCGCTTGCGTCTCCGCCAAAAGGTTCTGAACCCTGAAGATTCGCTTTACGAGTTAACGCACTCCAGTGCCCCAATTTCTTATATACGAAGAAAATGTGTGTTTATGCCAAATGGCTGCAGTACAAAGCGAATAGGCTGACTTCTTCTGGTGAGATTGACCTACCAAACTCTTCATCATGTCCTTCCAGGCAAAATGAAAGTCTTCAAAATACGCTTATTTCTTGTGGGAATCTCAGAGAGATTTCACTAAAAAACAACTCGTCGAAACAAGCTCAACTTTTAACGTCACATTTGGCACCTGCCTTTGCTGCTTATTTGATTGGAAGCCAAACCAGGACTAGACAATCACTTTCGCTGCTATTTTCTCAAAAGTACTTTCTCAAATTACAGAATATGGCGGATGGTCTAACGGAAAGGTTGGATGAGATTGACAGATGCTGACATAATAAGAAATTAAGGAATTTAGGCAGTAAAATCAACTTAATGCTATTTGTTAAAGCAAAGATAAGATCATTACTTTATCCAGAATACTTAAAGATGATAGTGTTAAATTCCTCTTGGAACGGGATCAAAACTTTATCTTTCCAACTGAAAAGATCATTCTGTGGAGATATTAGTTGAAGTATTTGAGTAGACAGACAAAAGAAATGATGTGTAGAAAAAAGAAATGAATTCTTATTTCAACCAGGCAATTATTCCAAAGAAATCTTCCGATCTGAAGAGGCATTTGATATATTTGGACAAAACTGATCTGTTTGTTTTGAAGGCGGATAAAGGTGGTACAGTAGCCATCATGTATAGGTTAAGTTATATACCAAAAATGATGGCTTGTTTAGATGACTCAGAAATATACCAACGTTTAGTGAAGGTTCCAGAGAGTCTCAAGGCCAGATTTAGGATGAAATTGAGAATTGGAAAATGAATTCACTCCTTCAAAGACATGCGAGTGCATCTTCAGCTAACAGCCTCCTAAAGCTTCACAAAGACAGAGTTTCTATACGATTTATTGTACATAATAAGGGAAGTATGAAGCATAGGATTTCACAATTCCTATGTGGGCAATTAGGTAAAGTGGCTGAATATTTGAAATATTATGCTAAGACTTTGTAGGAATTTAATGGGCCGATAGATCAACACAGTTTTAGAGAGGTGAGTTTAGATGTGGTTTTAATGTATACTAACATCCCAGTTCAGGAGGTCATAGAAGTACCAGTACTTAGTCTAGTGGAACACCTACAAATTATTGAGGAAGTAAATCTGAGAAAATGCTCAATCTCAAGACTACTTAATCTATCCATGAGTAGTACACACTTCGTGCAGGTGCCAAGGATGTAAAAATGCTTCATGCCGGGGGTAGGACTAACATCAAAACCGTTAGTTAAATGATATGGATGACTAGTTTGCAATATGGCAGCAGGGCAAGGATATTTTAGATAATTTCCTGTTCGTAATTAATCAGATTGACGGCAATGTTAAGTTGAGAATGGAGATAAGGAAGGACGATAGTCTACCTTTTTTGGATGTTTTATTTATGAGGGCATGTGAGAAGTTAAGCGGGGATGTATATAGAAAGCCTACGCACGCTGGCTTTATCGTCATCTGCTCCAGCCATAGTTACAAAGCAAAAGGTGGTATTTTACAATCTATGATTATATGGAACATATGATTAGCCGATAGAGCATTTTTACGCTAGTATTGCTTGGGCATAATTAAGTTCGATTAATTGAAAAATAAGTTTGATTGAAAATGACATTAGATTAATAAAGAATACCTTTCAAAGGGTGAATGCGTAAGGAGGGATGATGAGACATTTTCCCATGTTTTGTCTTTGTTGTCTCGCTAAAAAGCTGAGCGAACTAGTAAGGAAGTGATGAATAAAAAGGGTTTTCAACGAGACTAGGACACTTTTAGAGAGGAAGTTGACCCAAATTAAGATTGGGTTGCCACAAAAAATGTGTTCTGTGTTGAAGAGACTTGTCGTCCCATTCGATAAAGGGTGGCTGAGCAGTCATGAGATGGACTCAATAGACTAATAGGAAACTGGATCTGTTAGTTCGTCAGTCATTTAACCAATCATTTATTAATTTCGTACGTTTCTAATCGAGTCTGTCCGTCAATCGGGCAGTCACTCAGTTATTCAGACATTCAGTCAATCACTAAATAATTGGATTCAGTCAGATCCTCAATCATTCAGTCTTTCAGTCTGTCAGATATTCATTGGATTAGTTACTAAATCATTCAATCAGGCATTCGTTTAGTTGAGTCTAAAGTTAGACAAATATAAACTCACTGCCATTGCTTTAGTTCCATTTTAACGAGATAGTTGGTTACTTGCTTACACAGTCATATCATACATCGGTTTTGGGAATTTCACTCAATCATTCATTTTTGTACGCCAAATAGTCGGACACGCGAATAGTTAGAAAATTCTTAAACAATTAATCAGTCATTCATTCAGGCCCTTATTCTGGTGGACAATAACTGAATTACACTTAATTTATTCAATATGAGTTGTTTGATCGTGTTTTCACAACTTGGTAATACTGGCAGGAAGATCCATAGTGTGTATGATCATTGGTAGAGTCGGACGTTTCGCCGGCAGTGAAGTCTACCGAAATGACCAAGTTGCAAAAAAAGGTCAAACAACTTATGTACAACGTAAGGAGACCGCGGCCAGATAAAAGGTCACACCATCCTGGTCTTCAAATCTTTAATTAATTTGTTAACGCTGATGTGAAATCAAATTGAGGATTTTTAGCTAAAACAAAAAGATTAGCTCTCAAATGCTTTTATATGTCTCTTTTTATAGCGTCTCGAATGAGATTTTTCTTTCAGCAAAGTTGCACTGCCATATCCTTACCTCTGTTGGAATTTCTCTTCCAAGTGGTAACATGTTTACACCCATGACTACAGCCACAGGTAGCACTTGGTTACCGGGCAGATGTGAACTTCTAGACCAGCCTGGCTTCTCCCACATCACACATTTATACGGCGCTTTTCTATGGAGCCAAAAATCGAACAATCGGTACTTCTTGAATAGCAAGTGCTGATTATTTCTAGGCATATTCATAGTTATCTTGCTTACCTTCATACTCACCATACGACAACCCTTCAGAACCAATAGCTCTGAGGTGTCACTTGGCCAATTTATTGTCTGCGAAACGACGCGAAATTGCCCTTCCAGACCTGTCTTCTTGAGGGTGAATACTCCAAATACACGAGACGACATGGAGTTGGCGAGGCTCGTTTCATATAATTGGTGAAAAAACTCCAGCATAGCCGTTCATGAAGCAGTTACAATGGTTATCTTTGCATATTTATGAGTTCTTGATTGTTGTCTTCTTCAAGACATGATGAAAGTCTGAAAACCTACTCATGAGTAGCATGGTTTTGAATGCTAAAACGTGGTGTACCCATTAATTGTGCCATTTCATTTGTCCGCGTCTAGGCAACCCGGAGCCGTGGACATGCCGAACCTGAGACCAAAAGGACAGATCAAATTCTCTCCCGCGGTATCCGGTCATTCTGGAAGACGCTAGACTAGACAAGTGCCCCATTTGGCCTCTCACCAGCCGACAGGGTTCACGTAGTACCAATTCTGGAGGGCTCCAGAGACTTTCGATCCTCGCGTTTCACGCATGCTCCCTCTCTCTCCTCCTCCGAGAAGCGCCTCGAGGCGGTGCCTCGAAAGCTGCTCTGCTTCACCTGCCCAACCACACCGCGCGACCAGCTGAGCGGAGCTTTAGGTTGTCAAGCCTTCATTCCTCTTCGCCCACCTCCAGATTGGCACTGCGTGTCATCTGTACCATCCGGCTCAACGTTGACACGCCGACTTCGGCACCGCATCAGAGGCTGACGGCCTCACCAACAAACCTACGTTTACGCAAAAACCGACAGCTTCCTCGCCACACACAACAACAGCACCGACAATCACGTCGACATCGACATCATCAAAGATCAACGACCACATCGAACTGGGCGTCAACACCAACAACCACACCAACTCAGCTTCCGCGACCTGCACCAACATCTGCACCAACATGGACACAAACTACGATGCCAAATAATGCACAAATGCCATCAAATTCATTGACCCCAACCAAGAGTCCAACACCAACATCAACATTTATATCAACCCGACGTCGACGGTGATACCAACTGCAACATCGACATCAACTTCAACAACAACACCAACACCCACAAGCGCATTGATGCCGGCCTCGATAATGACAGAGACAGCAGACTCTTAGCCGCATAGTTTCTCGTCTCGCTGCTTTTATGTTTGATTGGAAACCCCGCTTTTGCTCCGCCCATTCTCTCTCCTCTCTTTTCCGCCCACTTGCATGACATGTTGTGTTGCCGACTGTCAGTGCACATGAGACTTTTATTTTGCGACCCTTTTTTGACGGCCAGCTTACCACCCTTCGCAGTGCATACAACACGAGCTTGTATGCATGTTTTTGACCTTTCCCTCCTGTCTACTGTACACAGTCGGTCTTGGTCACTAAAACCCCTTTCCCTCTACCAAACTCATCTTGTCAGTTGTGTTCATCCTGTTTGAGGCGATGAAGGACTGGTAGCTGAATTTTCCCACAACTCCGATGGGTATAGTTGACGTGTCCACGCCATTTCACACAGCCTTGCTTTGCCACAATTGTTCTCATCCACGGTCGAGTGGACGCCAGTTTCCGTCTCGCCTCGGTCTTATAAACGCGCCCAGCGGGAGTCGAGCCAAGGCTTTGTGAAATTGACTGGAGGCGCCAACTCGGTTGACATGGTTTTGGGGAAAATTCAACTTACTGGCCGTCTCGAAGACGTACACATTTACGAAAGAAGTAATGTCGTCGATTGCTGTGGCGAATGTGAATTTGCTTCATCGACACTCCCAACATGAAATGCCCATCTTGGCTGAAGCCCACGGACACTCGTGGCAATGTGAGATTATAGGCTACAGTGTCATGGTTCGAGTCCCGCGCGGGGGAGGGGGTTTCGAAATTGCAGTTCACTTCAGCCTGGATGAGAACACCTTTTTGGAAGGAAAGGCTCTGTGAAATGTGATGGAAAACATCAGCTCTATGCAGATGAATGGGAGAAAAGGCAATTACCACTTCTACATCACATAAAAACGAAATAGTGTGAATACAACTCATGCATATGATTTATTGGTAGTCCCGAAAACCGACTCACCCATGAGAAAATTAGCGAACAATTTCACTTTCTTGCCCTTGACGAGAAGCCGAGTTTCAGGCCAGCTTAGCCGAAAAGCAGATGAACTCTGGCACTTGTTGCGAGCGTCAACTTGACCTTCAGTCATCCTCGAAAAGTGGATAAAAGTGAAGTGTGATGAGGGCTATGAGTGATGGGAGTTCGGGAGAAAAGATTGGTTGAGCAGGTGAAGACGTATACATGAATGTATTTATTTTTGTCGTCTCCCTTAATTGTATGCTTTTGCAAAGTTTTCATATCTCGTTGTTTAGTGACTCTTTGTTGAGGAGTCTTTCATTTAGCATGAAAGTGTATGTCAAAGATATGAAAACCACGATGTTGTGGCCTCTGCTATGGTCACAGTCTCCTCTCGATTTATAGAAGTGGGCTGACTAGATGCGTTCTATTAGGTCGCCATGACAACAAGATCAACCCACTTCTGTATGTCGAAGTGTGATTTCACCAGGAGACAACAGCTGATTCCCATTCTTCGCCAAGCGTTCAGCTTTAATACGACCTTCGGGTGGACGCAGTCCACGAGACATCGTCTCGCAGGAATTGTGTCTACCATTTGAACTCATTTTTGCAAGTATCAAGTCAGCAATTGGTCAAGAAGCTTGAGACCTACAAGAATGAGTTGCAGCTCTGATGATGTCCATGAGATGATGGAAGAAAGGTCGGCTCGTTTTCATCCGAAGCGAGGAAAGATGTCTCGTGGACTGCGTCAAACTGAATGTGGAAACAGGCTCAAACGGCTGCATAACAACGCGGATCAGCTGTTGTCTTCTGGTGAGCCCGACGTTTGAATCACTTCACCGTGAACTGGTAAACAAAATAAAAGTCTTTCTAACAGAGAGTCATTGAACAACAACATTTAAGGCAGACAACAAAAATAAATATATTTATTCATAAACATTGGAATTAAGGCTTCCAGCGTTAAACCAACAACCAATATACAGTACACATGACGACTGTCAAAACTGTTTAACGATAATCCCAGTATGCTGATATATAAAACACATTGTAACTAAACTAGTGGAGTAATATAATCGCCTCGGAGACCATTTAAGGTTTCACACAAAATGGTAGCTCTAAGAGGCGAAAATACGTTGTGATTACACAAAAACAAAACCATACCGGCCCAAATTGCATATGGTACAGTTTTCAGTTAAAATCTATTGGCGCTATTTAAGTCGACTCATTATGAATTTAAGTAGTATAATGGAATGTTATGACAAAATACCAGTTCGACTAATCGAGGTGCAATAAGTCTGGCTTGCCCAGTACCAACGGGTTGAATGATTGCGTGCCGCAGGATCTGGGCTCGAGTCCCGCTGTGGGTGCGGATGAGACGAGTTGAGATGCACTGAAAAGGCTGTGGCAGAATTTGTTTATCAGCTTTTTCTTGCCTACATTACACAATCTGGAGTGACCGCACCTCTTTTTTAGTATCAAAACTAATTCACTGTGAATATTTAATGAAAATTTGGGCATCCAATAAACCCCAAATAGGTCAGTGTGACTTGACTGTTCGCCTCGAGGGTAAATTTGGCCGCAAGAAATGATGACTTGACCCGTCCTCAGATGGTACAGCCATTCTGTTGGCGAGATTTCGCTGCGCCAAATCGGTCTTCTTCATGTTTGCAGTCGCAGCAGGTCGAAATCGGCATCCGCGCTTTCGGTTTCGATGCTGCCGACTGGCGATTCGCGTCCAGGCAACCGTCAACAAGAATTGCACAACTGATTGGCATACCGATTCGTTTCACATCAACTTCGACTGTCCAGTCGTTTATGTGAAAGTGTTTTGTGTGATGAGACTGCTTAATTAGAAACAGTTCATGACTTGGCCTCCTCGCGCTCCGAAGGAGGATGCAGCTGAGGTGGAGTCTGTTTGAGGGTGGCGATGAGTCCTGCATTCGCGGCGATCTTTTGTCTGTCCCGCCGTGACAGACGTCATCAGAGCGAGATACCAACCTTCACGAAGAGGGCATCAATAAAACGGGGTCCAAGAAGTAGCGGCGGCTGCAAACATAATCATTTGCTATACTCACTTTTGCCATCCTAATCACACATTTCCTGATGCGGTTGGCCACCGAGTCCAGCCTCAGGGAGAATTCATTTCTGGAAGTAAGAGTAGATGAACTTGAAAGAAATATCAGTACTTTACTCAGCTTAGGCCTCCTAGATTGGCCAGTAACCAATTCGAGAAGTGGTGATAATTTGAAACATACTTGCATTGGGGTATGAAGACCAAGCTGGTGTGACCTTTTGTGTGGTCGCAGTCTCCTTTCGTGGTACAGAAGTTGTCTGACCTTGTTTTCGCAACTTGGTCATGACGGTAGAACGACTTGGAGGAAGGCAACCAGTCCAGAGTCCATTGTATGCATCATCATTTGCTTTGATTAGGTTCAATGTTGATCCACAACGTTTGTGGTTTGGCATAGCAAGTTATAGACTTGGTATCATAGAGAGAGAGAGAGAGAATAGAAGCAATGGAAGCTAGAGCTGGTTGGCTAACAATAATTGTGATTCAAGGATCACGTTTAAGATCAAACACGCCTATTGTTAGCCAAATAGATTTGGTCTTTCCTGTTTTTACCTGTGATACCATGTGCATCACTTCATACGTCCTAGTCTCTTGTGTGCCAA